TTACCTCTAGCCTCCACTTTGCCAAGGGATTGACTTTCTTCTAATGTTCCGATCTCTTTCGAGTGCAAGATTCGAGTTGAAAGGAACGTTTCTGGTACAATGGCCCTTCTCTCGGCTTGCCCTTTGATTCATACTGCTCTCATTCTGAGTGGCAAAAGTGCCATCCATAATCTTTGCAACAACTGCAATCACTTATTGTTTGTTCAGCCCTTCGGCTTTCAAAGCCTCAACAGCCCACTGAAGGTGTTCATGGGGACCAATGCCTGTCCTTATCTTGTTCTTACCTCTAGCCTCCACTTTGCCAAGGGATTGAATTTTTTCTAATGTAACCTGTCCCAAGATTGGGGGGCCTTTTGGCATAAAATTTCTGGCATGCGATGTGGTCGATGACGGAGCCAATATACCAAAGGCCAGATCTGCCACAGTTCTCTGAAGATCTTCAATCATTCTCATTAGCTCAAAAGTAGTGGGTTCGTGAGTTTGAGATAATTGGGGTTCAGATGCATTCATCATGCATAAGTCCATGCTGTCTGGAATGAACACCTCAGGCTTAGGTAAATGGGCTAGGGTGATGTATATACTGGGGTCATAGGTAGATGGCAATATATGGATTAGATTGAGATGGAAAGGTGATGGGTCAGTACTAGCTCGAGGTCCTTTTGGTGGAGTTATGGTCTCTTCGTCAATAAGATCCTGAATCTTATGACGGAGGCGGATGCAACGGTTCGTATCATGACTGTGTTGTTGATGATAGGCACAGTATTTAGCTGGGTCATATCTTGGTGGAAGAGGATTTGGAAGGGGTTGAGGTTCTAGGAGCTCTAGGTGCCATTCCTTTTGCAGTATTTTCAAAGCTTGAGAGAGACTCATGTAAAGAGGATGAAAATTTCGGGCTTGGGGCTGATTTGAAGTGGTTGGTTTTTAGCCATTGAGGGAAGTAGTAATAGTGTCTATTTCTGATCATTTCGCAGCTCTGCTACCTTCAGTAGTAGCATTGGAACTATGAGCAACATTCCTCTTCAAAGGCTCATTATCTTCTATAAAGATCCCTTGTCGGATGGCATCCTCGATTTGAACCCCCATTCCATGAAGGTCTGGAAAGGTAAACAGTGGTAGAACGATCATCTACTGTAGCAACTTGCCATGTAGATTCCGAACAATCATCCTGATCTGATCTTTGTCAGAAGGCCTTATAGTCACCATCGAGGCCTTTGCTCTCCGTCTCGTCACGAACTCTGAGAAACCCTCCTTTGGCTCTTGACAGGTGATTCGAGATCACGAGTTGTGACCTCGATCTATGTGTTGTAGGAGTATTGAGCAATGAAGGCCTCAGCCAGCTCTTCCCAGTTCTGTTTCACAGAGTCCTCCAATTTCGCATACCAGATTACGGCTATCCTAGACATGGTTCAGCTGAAGAGTGACAACTTCTGGGCTGGGGTCAAACCCATTGGCCTCAGGATATTAGAAAACAGGCAGAGATGTACCATTGGGTCTCCAGAGCCGTCGAAGCGGTTGATACATGGCATTTTAAATTGCTCCGGTAAGGTAATTGCAATTCAGTATACCCGTCCTCTAAATCCGGGATGGAGTTCACTCCCTGTGCTTGTTTGAATAACTTCTCCAGTTTATTGACCTTAAGTGCAGTTGGGTCAACCTCAAATCCAAACGGAGCTTCGGCTTGATAGACAGGAGCTTTAGAGACTTGCTCTGGGATTAGCTCCGCCGGATTACCCTAAGTCTGTTGGAAATTAGCAGTATAGGCAGTGGCTCCGGGTGTCGGATTACCCATGGAAGGTGCATGAGATGTAGAAGCCGCAGCCTGCTGTGGCTGTTGTTGTAGCTGGGTTATCACTTCTGCCTGACGAGCCGTGACATCAGCCTGATGGACTGCGTCCTGCTGCAGTGCCTCGATTGTTTGTTGCAGGTATCACATCTGTTCTTCCATACTGGCTGGGGGATACTGAGCCATGGGAATGGGTGATTGATCTCATGCTGAGCTAAATGCAGACAACTGTTACCAGACTAGACTAGACTTGGGTGAACTGAGGTGTGACTGCTGTAGAAACTGTACAGGTGAATTCTGCCTGAACCTCCTTCGTCTTGTAACCGGTGGGGGTGAGGCAAACACAGGTTGCTTCTGAACCAATTCTGACCTGACAAAGTCTATCAATACAAGTCCAGTGTACCCGTTGGATGTTGGAGCCTTCTCAAGCTATGGTTCCAAGACTACCTTACAAAAGAAGAAAATAGACAGCATCTCAGCCTGGTTTCACTAGAACAGATACGAGCACAACTGAATGATTGCACTCTTTGCTGAATTCTGCCCCAAAATCAGAACCAAACTGATACCCTCAGGCTGATACTCAAACTTGCAACTGAAACATACAACCTGTAGAGACACACCCTAACAACACATATCAAGCAAGTGAGAGTCAAAACACCCCTATGGTGGGGTAAGGTTTCCCTGCCCTATTTTGTCAGGAGCTAGGGTTTCACTACGCACACAGCGGTTTCAAACAACCTACATTCGAGTCAGCAACCTGTCCTAATTTGGAACAGTCTCTAAGGCTTCTGATATGCAACTAGGTCGAATGGTCAAAAAGGGTGCCTCAGTTAAAACCGAGGTTTGTGTTCCCATCGTGGCAGAGCCCGTAATCGGTCAGCCTTGTGGCACGCTTCTCAAAGCAAGCCTCCGGTAAACCGTTCAGGAATAGTAGATGGCAAACACGGTGTCCTGGGCGCACCAATGCAAATGCAATACAAAGAAACACATAAGTGTAGACAAAACAACATATCATGAGCTCGAGTCAAGTTCTTTAAATCCCCAGCAGAGTCACCCGAAACTGTAGATCGCCTGAACTCCGCTCTGCGCGCGAGGGCGCGAATTGTAATTCTAGCTACTACAGTTCGGACTCCTATTGCGGTTCTGAATCTAATCTCACAAAGTGCAATGTAAGACTGATAAATCACCAAAGAGTCCAAATCCGGAAAATTATTTTGGAAAATCAATTTTAATCAAAAAGTGCCAAACATGGACTGCTTTGCCAGATTTCAGAGTCGCCACCTAAATGTTTTGTTTTGGGGAAATTTAGGAAACCCTGACTTGTGCCTAAGGCCACGTGTCCATCATCACCAAAGTTGCCTCGGCTCGGGAACTTGGGTACAAGAGGGGAAGGTCCTAAAATGAGCACCCCCACTCGCCTGATCAAAGATCAGCCTCTACTAACATGATATGTTGTTTTTATAAACACATGCGTTCTTATTCCAGTTTATTAATCTAGAATTACTATGTCATGTGCACAACATACAAGTATAGACTAAATCACTCGATTTGGAACAAAACATTTTATGTTTGTTTTTCGAAAATGGTTTGAAGATGCTACTCGCAAGTAGGTTAAAACGCAGATTTGCCACCAAACAAGGTGGGCTTAAAACATGATGATTTGCCACTTCAAGTGGGCTTAAAACTCACATTTCGATGAATTGTTCCAATTCAATCAATAAAGCCTTCATCCACAGGCATTCATGTAGTTATAGCAGTTAAGCAAATAGCCTCATGGCAAGCATACTATCATGGTAACACTCACACACATGCAAAGATGCTAAAGCGTAAACACTCACAGTGTACTCTGAGCCAAAACAGAAGCTAGTTAGTAATCAATGCATGATCCTAGCTATGATAAGATGCCTAATGCAACACATGCAAAATACAACTAAAATAGGCTCGGCTATCTAAGATGGCATATGAATGCGACATTTGATACATGTATTCAAAGAAGTGTATTGAAATACAATGCGGTTTGAATGATGCGCCGAGCCTGGTGTATGCAAGATGAATGAATGATGCACACATGCAAAGCATAAGCTATGCTAATCAAAACGTGCCCTAAACTAACCATCGAAAGCGGTTAAGTAAAAGGGAGAAAGAAATGGGGGTTGGAAGACATGCACACATACACGCACCCTTATTACAACAATATGCCCTCTTGTAGAAGGGTCCAAATAATAAGCTAACTAGCTACGCTAATTAAACTAATTATTACAAACCAACTAATTAACTAACTTAGCTAATTAATTATTACAAACCAAATTGAATCAACTAGCTATTCTAAGTTAATTAAGTACAAACCAAATTAATTAATTAAACACTTAACTAATTAATTACAAAATAACTAAGCTTATGAACCAGTTTAGCTAAGAAATTTAAACAAATGGCCTCGAGAAGCGATGGGGATATGCATGCTCGGTCAGCTTCGCTCAGAAATCCATTACCGTGCCTCATGATGCCTCTATTTGCACTCTTTTAGACCTCTGAAAATTGTGCCACCTTCCAGGTTGATTCTGACCCATCTCAGGAACATGCTGAGGGATGATCGGCTAGAGAGGGATGGCCATCGGCCACTTCTGATAGCCGATCGGTAGCCTTGGTGGCCGGTCGGCAACTTTGATGGCCGGTTGGCCACTGCTTCCTGTAATTTCTCCTTTTGCTACAACAGAGCACAAACAGAGGCATGACAGTGTGTTTGCAAGGAAATGTGTGTGCAACTACACTCCTTATCATGTCTCAAGCTCAAAAGAGTGTAGTGCTCGGCTCTCGAGTAGAGATGGCAATCGGAACCCGGCCCGACGGGGACCTAATCCCCCGACCCCGAATTGAACGGTTATTCTCCGAAAAATACTCTCGACATGCCGGGGATGGTATTAAAAATTAAATCCCCGATGATATTCGGGCCGGGGACGGGGATACATGTTTTAGCCCCGGACCTGGCCCGGTAGCCCGCCCGATGTGAATTTACTATTTTGCCCCTGTCTATATATAATAACATTAACATATGTGTGTGTATAGGGTTTTGGCTGAGACCACTCACACACAACATATAGACAGAGCCGCTCTGCTCTCTCTCTCTCTCTCTATCTAGGGTTTCGCCTTCATCTCTCTCTCTTTCACACTCCGACGGCGCCGATCCTCCCTCACCGCTGCTTGTACCTCACTGTCGATCCTGCTCCCTCACCGCCACTGCTAGTTAGAACTTAGAGCTTCGCCTCCGCCTCCCTCTCTCTCTCACACACACGACGGCTCCTCGTCCCTCACCGCCACTCCTCCCTCGCCGGCGATCCTCCTTCACCGTCGATTTCAAAGGGTATCTCTCTCTCTCTCTCTCTCAGGATTTCGATATTGGGGGCTTTACATACACACACATATATATATATATGTGTGTGTGTGTGTGTGTATGTGTGTTTATATAGTATCTCTGTTCTTCGATTCGATTTTTTTTTCTTCTCTGTTCTTCGACCTCTGTTTTTTTTTTCTCTTTAAATTTATTTATTTTAAATATATATATATGTATATATATATGATATGGCTTTGAATCTTTAATAATCTTTAATTTGAATCTTGCACATGAACTGTATTATTAATCTTTAATTTGTTGAATCTTGGACATATCTGTTATTATTAATTACCTAAGGCTGAACTATATTATTGATTTGAATATTTGACAGATTTATTCCAGCTGCACCATTACTACTCTTCCATGATCCATTATTGATGCTGCTGTGTTTCAATTTGATGCTACTGTGTTTGAATTTTGAAGCTGCTGTTTGAATTTTGATGTTGCTGTTTGAATTTGATCCATTTTGATGCTGTGTTTGAATTTGATCCATTTTGATAGATTTATTGATGCTGCTGTGTTTGAATTTGATGTTTATAGAATTTTTTGAATTGGAAAATATGTTGAAAAATATATTTCAATAGGATTAGAATGTTTACAGATTTTTACAGATAAAAAAAAAAAAACCACCGGGGATTTTTCGGGGTCAGGGATCCTCGATCCCCAATCGGGGGTGGGAATGGGGCTGGGCTATGGGTCCCCGTCGGGGATCGGGGGCGGGGGCAGGGACGAGGAGTATATCACTTTCGGGGATCGGGGACGGGGAGTGTAGTCCCCAGCCCTGCCCCGCCCCGTTGCCATCCCTACTCTCGAGCCATCAATCATGCATCTCAATGCATGATGGCCAAAGAGTCAAACTTGCACAATGTTGATGAATGCACACAAATAACACACAAGACTCGAGAGGCCTCCACCCTATCATGCACAATCAAGGGGGACAACGACTAAGAAATGAGGCATGTTTCATCACTTCAAGTATGAAACATCCCTCGTTTCTCGTGTTTGGATTAACGTTCGATCCAAACACATGCAATGCAACACAAACATGTTATCTTGGCATGTTTTACTTCAATTCAATTTGTTTACTCATTTTAGATTACCAATTAATCCTTTAACCGGTTAAGTCCAAAAGTGAGAAGTCCTCTAAATGGAAAGACGGACTAAGCCGCAAGCATCTTGAGCATGAAAGAAGCATCATGCCGTTGGTTAGTAGAAACCCTCAAGAGAAGGCTAAAACCATTAGGCATGAAAGCCTCAATTTCATGCTCAAGCCAACAAGGGGCTCAAGACCACTTTCAAAGCAAAGTCACAAATGAAGAGTGTAGTGATATAGAAAACATTTTAGTGCTGAAATAGGATGCTAAAGACACTAAACCATGCAAGCAATGCATGCACAACATGTTAAGGGCCAAAGACATTGAAACTAGTGACAATCATTACACTAGAGGCATGCGATATCAAACTCAAATGGCCAAACTAGCTCTGGATAGAGCTAAATCATGCTAAAATAGTGGCCTAGATATGCTGAAACTTAGGCACAAAAGGCAAGAAAATCATGCGCACATGTTGGCTCGCAAGCAAGGCATAAGGCTCAACTCTTAAACACAATGAAAGAGTGAAAAAACGTGGAAGTGTAACAACACCATACGCTCTAAAATAACATGCCAAATGATGCCAAAACATGCAAATACCTCAAGCCAAGCATGCAAGATACCCCAAAACTCAAAACTAGTCAAGGCTATTGCACTACAAGCATGCACAACAAGCATCATACGACCAAGAAAGCTAAAAAAAAAGCTAAAGCATGCCAAAATATGAATAAAAGCATGCTTGAGTATAGCCAAAATGAGCTAGAGTAATAGGCTAAAGAGACAAGCATACAAGGCTAGCTAGCAAGGATTACACTACAAGTGTATAAAGCATGCAAGAGGTGAGTCCACCAATCAAAATCGGAGTTAAAGCATGGCAAATAATGGCTAAAAACATGCTTGAACTAAGCAAATTCAAGGTACAAAGACATGCTACTTTGCAAGGCCACAAGTAGGATTACACTACAAGTGCAATAAGCATGCAAGAGGTGATCAAGACAGCCAAAAAAAGAGTTATGGTAGGTCTGAAAAGTCACAAAAATGAGCCTAAACAAAGCCATGAAGAAGTAAAAACTCATGCTCATTTGGTTGGCCATCAACACATGCAAACAAGAAAAGAGGAGGGGGGGACCACCCCCACACATTTTGAGCCTCAAAACAAGTTTTCTACCACTAGAATTTAGTGGTTTTAAGGCCAAAAAGAAGTTGTTTGAAAAGCTTGAAAGTTAGCTCAAAAGGCCTTACAAGCCAAGGAGCAAAAGGGAGGAAACACCCCCTAGCCAAACAAGGATTAAACCACCACTTTTAGGACTGAAAAACAAAGGAAAAACAAAGATTTTTGTAGTTCAACACCACCCCCAAAACAGCCCCAAAGTAGTTGAAAACTATAGCAAAGCTAGTATGCAAAACAAGCTAAAAGGAGGGGGGGTGAGTGATTACCTTTGAAGCACAGCAGCAAAACAACCACTTTGTTGGCTCAAATGACCTTCCAATAGCCCAAAAATAAGTTCCAAGGGACCTCAGCCCATAGATATGCAACTTTGATGAAGGATGCTGTAGACGGCGCCCGGGGAGGGGCCTCAATGCTACAGTTCGGACTCGATTTGTGTCACGGTTCTTAATCTGAACCAAAGAGTCCAAATCTGGCAAATCGTTTTGAGAAACAGATTTTTGAAAAAGTAGTGCCAAACAGTTGTGTCTCTCTACTTCTATGCACAAAAGGGCAAGAGAGAGGCTTTAGAGAGAGAGGCAGAGATTTTGCTCTGAAAATTTTGTAGAGAGAGAGGGATTTTAGTGAGAGAAACTCTCAAACTTGTTAAATTGTTCTCACCTTGAAAAATATGAGATATAGCCTCCATATATAGCAAAAGCAAGAACTTTGGTCGAAAATATTTGAATTAGGACAACTGGAGCAAGCTGGAAACAATTGGAGGAGAAATATCTTCAAAAATTATGAGTTTGGGTCACTCTTGGCTGGCCGGCCATCTTTGGGGCCGACCTGCTACTTGTGATGGCCGACCAGCCATCTCCATGGCCGACTGTGCACATTTGTGGCCGACTGCAAATTCTGCTATGTAAGTCCAACTTTAAATAGGCATATCTCTTTTACCTGGACTCCTTTTCAGGTCATTCTTGTGTCCAAATTGAAACCCCGGAAGTAATATTTCCAATGGTGGAAACCTCACATCAAAATTACAACTGTGAAAAAAGTTATGCCTCTTTTAGTGAAAACTGCTCAGTTTTGATCATAACAGATTGATGCCCAACTTCCAACAACCATATCTCCCCCATACGGACTCGGATTTAGGAGATTATTGAGTGTAAAATGAAGCCCCAGAAGTCTTATTTCCAATAGTGGTGGCCTGATAGCTTAAATCTAGGTATACAAAAGGATAGACCCGATTTATCGAGGATTACTCGTCTCTCTCTTAACAATTCATACCCAACTTCTTCCTCAACTAGGTTTCTTCCCTCCACTCCTCTTTTCTTCAACTTCAAACCCCTAGGTAAGGTGTTTTGAAAGATTTTTCAGAGATTTGACCTCTCTTTCATTCATTTCCACTTTGTCCTTGCTTGGTTTACCGAAAAGCGCAACATTTAACAAAATGCTAGCGTCGGAATATCGTAGGAACTTTTTCCAAAAGTGTTTTGAAAGAGAGGGTTTTAAGATCTAAAATCCATTCAAAATAGTTTTGGTCCAAAAAAGAAGAGTGAGGTTTGGATTTGACACTCTCCTTGCCAAAGAAATCGACCCTTTGCATAGCATAGCCTGCATCACTAAGTAAACAATCAGTAGCGCCCAAGTCTTAAGGGCGGTCAAAAATGGGGTGTCTACAACTACCTTAAACTCAAATCCACCACCTTCAAACTTATAATCGACCTCCCAGACTCCAACAAGGGTGCTAGAGATGATTACTTGATCGTCTCGGGCAACTGGAATTTCCACCTGGTGACGATCTTCATCTCTTTCCTCTACGCCGAACAGTGTTTAGAGTGGATGAGGGTAAGAACTGAGTTATCTCAAAACTCTATCTCTGTCAGGACTTGTTAATTTATCTATCTGTAATAATGTTTGCTTCTTGCTTTTTGTAGTTTGTCCCTAACCATCAAAAGACTTCTGCCAAACTTTTTTCCCCAGTAAAGATCTGAAAAGGCTATTGGGTTTTCCAGTTGAGAAACACAAAGCCCCACTGCTTCTTAATTACATACCGACCAACCAAGTCCTCTGCTCGACACTCCCAGAATGAGCGAGGCTTCGGTAGCCACTCAACTAGCTACTTCCTCACCAAGGCCTGATCAGGCCTCCTCATTAGATCCAGTGTACCAACCATCCACTTCAGTCACAGTTTAACTCATTCCACCATTCTAACGCCAGCAACGTCATTGAGTTCCCAACACCCCTGCCAGAGGAACCCGAAGTCCTAAGCGTCGAGATTCCGAGGCATCAGTGTACAATCCAAAAAATCCTCCAATCGCATTGCCTGCAATTCACTTCGACCCCAGAGTTACCGTCATTTCCACAGCCGATGATATGGGCCGTAGTCAAGCTATCGTTGAAGATTTACTAGCCAACCTTCTAGGAGTTGTTACCGTTCACTCTTCCTTCTCTCAATCCCAACAAAAGCCCATGCCAAAAAGAGTAAAAAGGTCCAAAGCAAAGGTCTTTACCTCCCAAGTAGACTTTGAAGATATCGTGTCGATCTCCAAATTGGCCGAGATCAAGAAAAGCACAATTGTCGTTGAGAAGAGGCCTGCGGAGGCCGAGCCTTCCAACCAACAACATTCCAAGAAGCCAAGGTCAGAAGGTTCAGTGGGGCCAAGTGTTTTATGAGCCGACTAGTCTTGGGCCCCTGCATTCGTGGTTGGGGACCGACCAATGATTGCTGTTAACAGTGCAATTGATAGCATTGAGATTGGCGCCACTTTTTCCAACGTTGATCTCTTGCCTACCAACTTGAATCGTATGGCCGAGATCACTGAATATGAAAATTTTGCGTTGATGATGCAACACTCTGTTTTGGTAAGTTCCCAGCACTTATACTTTTTCATTTAGCTTTATGTTTCAACTTCTTGCACATTTAAGCCATTTTACTAACTTGTTTGTTCCTTTCCTTCTAGATTATCCAGCATGCTTACTCTTCGTAGTGAAGGCCGAGGCTTTCAGAAAGGAGCTAGTCCAAAAGACTCAAGACGCTGCTGGCTACCTTGCCTCCATTAACAACGCCGACGCCAATGTGACACCCCAAACGTTGAATTAATATAATAAGAACAAAAAGTAAAATAAAATATTGAATTTTATAAATGTATATGAAAAGCATGTATTTTAATTTAAAAATAGGGGTTATTGCGCAATTATTATACTAATTAGGATAAGTATAGAATTAAGTAAAGTTGTAGATAAGCTGAACAGAAATTATATATATAAAAAAAATGTAATGATTTTGGATATTTGGGCTAAGGTGTAAATAGGCATGAACTCTGAGCCAAGGTGTAAATAGGCATGAACTCTAGACTAATCTCCT